ATCTGATCTACATATTTCACAACTTGGTACCCTCTTTCCAAAGATATTTGTAATTTATATACTCTATTAAATCTGGTCATCAGAGCCTTTGTCAAGGCATGGACCAAACGTTCTAAGCCTCCAACGATTATACACTCTTTGTTGATCATATAGCCTCTACGAAGGCCAATCAAGGTTGGGGAGCGATATTGGAATATATGTTCGCTTTCCTCAGCTCAGCTCAGGAGTTCACCCACAAGTTTGCACGCTAGTACGGGCGGAAATGTAGAAGAATCATTTCGAATTCCCAAAAATTTCCATGATTTTTTTATATTGTGGTTGCCCACGTGCATATTTTCCCATATTGCCTAGAAGTACCAGCTCAGTCCGCGTCGTGTTTTATACTATTCAACTCAAAAGCCATCCACACATGATGAAATTTGATACTCATAGTCAGCTCCTAGTATTATAGCTACAAATAATGTGGGAATACGATTACAAGTCATCATCCACTATTGAAGTGGCGGCGATGAGGACCTCCCAGTTGTGAGAGGGGTCTCGGAAGATACGGTCTCTTTGGTCTTCGAGCGTCGTTTCTGAACGATCAGTTTGTTGTAGTCGCTACTGTGATGGTGTTCTTCCATAGAGTCAAGAAGACCAATGTCTCCAGTTGGGTGCGGTCTGTCATGACACAGTTGTCTCAAAGCAGTTCATTAACTCCCTACCTGGCAGCGTATTTAGCAAGGCCGATGAAAAGCCCCTTTAGGGGAGAATTGGCCAATAGGATACCAACTCCAGCGGCCATGACCAACACCCAGAATGGGAGGAAGCATAGGACCACACCGGCACCAAGGAGACCCAAGAAGACCTTCTTGGAGAGCTCATGTCTGAATATAAACACATATGATATTCAACCCCCCTAAGATGGTACCTCCATAAGATGATCATTCTAGCCAAGGCCACGACGTCCACGATGGTCTTGAGGGTCGGCTGGAACTGGGCAGCCATCTGTTTCACCCATCCTGGTGACATTCGTGTAAAGGTCCTAATAAGGCCACCGAACTCCTGTTGTTCTACATCATCTAAATGAAGGGTCTTCTACTTCTCTGCTCACAATCGTATACTATACCAGTGTTGGCCTCCTCAACTTCGAGTAAGATCGGCTTGCCCGACTTATCCAAAGTGCTGGTCATGGACTTGTTGGCCATGAAACGTTCGTAACTGGGGCATACCGTAAAGGGCTCACCTTACCCACCTCAACTGACCCCTTCAATGTTTTGTTCCTCATCATCGCAGCAGCCGTGATCCAGCAAGCTAAGGCTGGCCAATACACTGCATAGTAGCTGAGGAGAAGGAGACTTCAATATCACGCCCGAGGGCCGGCCTTTCCCATTACCTCGCTACAATGTAGATGAGCAGGGCCAGCAGAGACTTCAACCAACTCTCCCACATCAGAATAGGGAGCACATGCTCCATCACGATTGGCTGCAGCCAGTGAAACCAAAGGGCGTCGGCGAGCCACCTAAAAAGACGACTATGAATAGCAAGTGTTTGGGTAGGGATATGTGTTCGCTTTCCTCAGCTGAGCTCAGCAGATTCCTCACTAATAATAGAAGTTCACTCACGAATTCGGGTAGAAGTGCCGAGAAGCCAATGAGCGCTTCCCTAAATTCCTCACAGGAATCGTAATTGACCATCAGTGGACATTCCCCCACCACCACCACGGCAAATGATTTAAATTTCCACTCTCTTTCGCAACCCTTCCTAACGTCCGAATGAAGAATTTGAATATTCCGTTATTACATTGCAGGGCCATATAGAGCGTTAATGTCGAACTTGGGCTTGGGCTTTGGCTTGGCCACCATCTCCTCCTGTACAAAGGCGATCTTTTCGGACCACGGGGTGAACTTGATCTCCAGCGAGAGGTGTACAGCTCCAGCGGGTTCGCCTGATAATAATGGCAACTAGGAAGTTTATTAAGGCGTAGTAGTAGTACCATATAGTTGGAGTGGTAGCCAACCAGTGGTTTTCGTAGAGGGAGCTAGATGTGTTAGATCTAGCAAGGCCTCTCCAATGAGGTCATCATCCGATGCTGCGTCCCAATCGTACCTTATAGAGAGATTCGGTGGTCATTCACACAAGTGCCGAAGCGAGCGACTGCTAACGATGTGATTACAACTTATATGATGTAAAACTCGCTGAGAAGAAAAGTTCCACTTCTGATCACGACATATCTTAGGTTGATCGTGGTAAGATTCAAAGTATGTCCGCTTGAGTACCACAACTTGATTGACCTATGCGATGCCCCCCAAGCCTTACATCTGAATCTTCATAGTTTGGCAGGGCACATTGACGACCATAGTAGAGCACTCGTGGTTCCATACAGGGGACAGCGTCTTCTTACATATCGGGGAGCGTCGTGATATCTGCTGATGGAGTGGTATGTGAAATATGTCAAATCTCGGTTGCCTACGTTGTCGCTCATGAGCTTAACCACACAGTAGGGATCGGAGCTTGTAGCTTTTCCAACTATATTAGAATCAGCGGCCTTCAGGCCCGAAGCCTCTATGATGGTCACGTTGAGGAGAGCGTACAAGTCCCAACCGAATTTCACTGCAGCAGAAGATCATCAAACAGAGCCAAGCGAAGACCACATTATCACGTGTAGGGTCATTCATATCCAGCAAGCCCCCTCCCTCGTTAGAATCAAAGCTACCAACTAGTCTTGTAAACTGTCCAACTTTGCCAATGCCAGCCCCTGCAATGCTAGCGGCCTCTCCGACCGCCCCAGTGGCAACCGACCCCATGGCCCCGACCGCCCCAGTGGCCGCCGACCCCACTGCCCCTACAGCTCCAGCTGTCTCCTTCACGGCCGACTTTCCAATGTGCCCAACAGCTGAAGAGAGGAAGAAGTATTGCCCGATTGTTGAGTAGTCAAGTACTGACTACCTTTGGCTGCATCACCAAGCTTTGAGAAAGGCGCCATGATGACGCTCCTTTTACCATCGGTTTCGCCCTTGGTCTGCGGGCTGGGAGTCTTCGTTGGCGTTATAGCGTCTCCAGTGCAACTATGGGAGGTCCACTGATCGTGATTTGAAGGAGGAGTGGTATTACGCTTTGCATTTCTTGGTACCAATGAATCTCCCACTGGCCAAACAGTCGCCGCAGATTGTCTTCCCGCATACCTTACATACGTAGGTCCTGAGCACAGCAGCCGAGGTGAGCGAAGTGTGGTACGACTCCGAATTGAAACAAAACCCCGACATCGTCACTAAAGCCTATCCCCTGATGTAAATCGATTTCGAAGCGGATTTTAAAATTCCTTATCCATCCCGAGAGGAGGCCTTAAACGGTATTAATTTGACCGAGTTTGGATAAGTCATCCCCCGACCAGCACTACTTGTTCCCCTCAGCTCCACACAGCTCACATTTCGTTCCAGGTGTTACAGCCATTACAATATTACGGAAAATTACAATGCTTAGCAATAATCACGCGTGCACGGTTATCGATCACAATGGCGCGCGCGGTTACAATTATACGTTTCCCTAAATCTTGCTGCGTAACTGCGCTGATTATGGGATCTCTCCGCATTCATTATGGATACCGCCTTGTGTAATGTAGCTCATTGTAGTGGTATGCCTGTACCCAGTTACTGTTGTGTAGGAGTGTCAGTGTCCTCTCCTCGTCTTTCCCCCCTAAGGTACTACTACCTCCATCGATTCCCTCTACACCTCCTGCCTTGTGTCGTAGGGCTGCTACCTGTGCTGGGTCTGTTAATGGTCATACTTGACCAGTGTAACCATTCATATGTCACTCCACAATGTTAACGATATGTTGTTTCAATGTCGAGACTTTGGTTCAACTAGTGTCCTCAGCTCCTCCCCAGAGTCCCTCCCTAGGTCTGCGTGCTACCCTTCCCCCTTGGGTATTACCTCTAGAGAGACCTCGTGCTTGTCTTGTGTTCTCCCTCTCAATGCGATATTCTGGACTCTTTATGTCTGTGCTCTTTTTCACTTTATCCTGTCAACGGTCATTCCCTCCAGTGGTCCTTTGTGAGTAATCTCATCCTAGTACCGTGATCCGCGAACATGTTAAGCACTGTTCCCTTTCACCACAGTTTCCGCTACCCATTGTGAGTGAGTTGTTGTGGTAGTCTCCCAGGAGAGAGGGGTGATAGGCCCATCGGGTGTCACCAGTAAGTATTGGTGTCTCATTAACCCCAATAGTGTTGTGTGGGTAAGAGTATTACTACCATGACGAGATATTCCGTACCTGCTCCTTGAGACTCTCAAGGAGCAGGTACGGACCCATGTACGAAGCGGAGTGGCTGCTGGTGTTGCAGCCGCCGGCCCGATAGGCAGTGGGTGGTTTGGTGGCAGTGGCAGTAGGGGTAAGTGGCGGTACACTGGTGGTAAAGGGCATGGGCTCAGCCCTGAAGGGTATTCCGAGAGATGGAAGGGTCCTACTGGTGCCCAAGTTTGGCCCTCGACTTCTGTTCAACAAGATAGTGGTAGTAGTAGTGGCCCTTCTCCTCCTTCTCCTCCTGCTGCTGCTGCTGATGCATCGACTTCCTCTTCTGGTAGTACCGCGTATGTTGAAGGCGGCGGCGGCGGCGGCATTGGCAGTAGGTACCCCTCAAGTTATGGTGACCGATATACGATGCATGGTGGTGGTTGTAAGGGTAGACCCCAATCCTACGAGGAGTATGGAGGATACTACTATGGTGGTGGTAGGGGTTATAAAGGTGGTGATAATGATGGTGGGTACAGTTGGAGAGGAGGAGGAGGCCCTTCTTGAGGGTACCACCAAGGCAGCAACAATACTTGGATCAACAAAAGACAACAGCACTGGCCCCCGCCCTCTGGCTCAGATGTTGCTTCCTCTCGTATGCCATACAAGCATCCTAGGACTACTACTGGAAGCTACTTGTCCTCATCGTGGAAGTGAAGACCCCTGTGGTCGTTGTCTATTACTGTTATCGTTTTCTGCCCTATTATATCGCTGTAGTGAGAACCAGTAGGATTCCCCTCGTGTCACCATTATCGTTCGCAATTCGTGTACTATTATGAGGAAGGCCCTCTCGGGATCATCGCCATCTTCATGGGTTGGTCCAGGCTGCTGTTCCTCCAATGGCCCTATCGATGGTCTATACCAACGTAGTTGTATCATCTGCTTGCGTTGTGTTGGACATAGTGAAGTTAGGAGGGGCAAGAAGGTCTGAAAAGTCGACCCACTCTCCACATGTTGAGTCTTGTCGTAGCTAGAGGCTGAATTGCTACGAAACAAAGCTGCAGCTCTGGGGATGCAAGACGCGTCTGAATGGTCAAGTGGTAGCGATGTTGTTCAGGCTTCGACAGGGAGAATCGAGACCAAGCTGATAGTGGTAGGGTCTGTCCTTTGAGGGCGGGGGCCTGTCCTTCATATCTGCCTCAAGCTGTAGTCCAACGTGGTGGAATATGCAACGGGAGTGAGCAGCAGTTTTGATTATGCTTTTCCTGCCTCGGATTCACATTTTTGAGTTGTTAACGTATCTCGGCGCCTCTGGGAGTGACCATGCTTTGCTCCGAAGGGAGCTGATATTAGTACTGCCAATATCTGTAGAAGTTCACATCCTGATGGGTCGGCCGAGAGAGCGAAATCTGGAATGAACTAAACTGTGGGTATGACATTGGATGATGATAGCATTGCGTTTGAGGATACGGTTATGCCCAGAAAGTTGTCGCATCATGGAGCTGGCGAACACAACGGGTATACCGATTTCGAAACTCGGAATCGTTTCCAGAATTGCTGGTTACACGTATAATATGATCCTACTAGAATCGATTCTCAATTGACCCACAATGCACATGGGAATAGAATCAACACCTTCTCACATAACAGCGATTGCTAATCAACTCGCTGGTTTCGGACCCTCAGGCCGACTGCCACAGCATCTTCTTTTACCGCACGTATGTGTGTTAGTTTGAAGTCCAACGCCGTCGCCGGTTTGGTTAGACTTGATGAGCTCTTTGTTATTCGGTTACCTCGAACGCTGCCAGAAAGGGCGGCAGACTAGGTCGTCTTTTTGTTCAATCCTAGTAGGATGCACTCTTCCAGTCCTTCTGCACGTCTCCTGCGATTTCATTGAACTTGTTGAAGCTCGCGTGACGTGACTCAACGACGTTAAATCAACACAGCAGTGACATCCATTGGAAATATCCTGCTCGGTTCTACTCTGAAGGTCCCTGATGAGATCTCATTTGTCAATGCCACCGTGCCAAAGAACAAGAAGATCTTCAATGAGGAGACCAGCTACTACGCTCCCTCTGGTGACTACTGGTTTAAGACGGTCAAGGGCAAGAAGGTTTGCTTCACTGGCACCACTGAGACTTCGGCCGCTAGTGATATTGCGGGGAAGAGTAACGTGTGGTTTTCCGATATGATGGAGTCCGCAGTCGAGGCTGCTCGCAAGATGAATGAGGATGGTTGCACCTTGGTTATCATCCTCACTCATCAGCGTGAGGGTTATGATGTCCTCTTATGGAGGAAGGCTGTTGTGGAAGAGGGTATCAAGATCGATGCTATCATTGGTGCCCATGATCACTTCCCTGCTTTCTTGAATCTTCAACACCCCACTAAGCCTGATATTATAACTCCTGTGTGGAAGATGGGTATGGATGCTCAAATGCTCGGCAAGTTCGTATTTGGCTTTGATGATCAACATCCTAATGGTAAACTCCGCTTCGCTCATGCCATTCCGGTGTTGGATGGTCAGTGTGATCAGCACTTCATCGGTACGGACAATGAGGAGTGGTGGAACAATAACGTGATGCAGACCTGGTCACACTGGGTACAGCCTATCAAGCCTCTCCAGGATACTAACATAAGCAATTTGTTATTTGCTGGTTTGTACGACACTGCGGATATCCGCTCTGCCGAGTCCCGTGCTGGTAACATGCTGGCTGATCTATTCCTACGTAACATTTCAGCTCATTTTGCCGCTCTTGACGGTGGCAATATCCGTTATGGTTTGAGTCAGAACTTCACAGAGCGCCTTCCCCTCACTGCATTGGATTTGTTTGAAGAGAATCCTTTCCTCGGTGGTATGGTCTCCTACGACATATCCTTAATGGAGGTCTTTGGTTATATGATCTATTCCGCTCCAATCGCCATGGGTGGTCCTAACACGCCGCGTCCGGTCACCTCTGGTTTCGAGATCGAGATGGATCCTACTTCTACTCAACACGGTGGTGTGAAGTTCATCCGTTTCACTGGTACAAGTCATATGGCTGGTATTGTCAACCGTACCCAGGCTGAATGTGGTCATCCGACTTTGAAGTGTGGTGAGATTATTTGGAATGCTGAGGAGGGTTGGAAGGTCGATCCCCTCACTATGGTCGTCGTCACTGTTCCTGCGTACACGACCTGTGTAGACGTGGTGCTGATAGCTACGCCATCGACCTCAATGGAGAATCCACATCCTTCGCTTGTCCCCCTGGTCCTGACTTCTTCGACTATTTGAATGAGCAGTTGCCCTGGACTGATTGGGGATATGTCGACGCGGCTCTACGGTAGAGCCTCTACCACCACTCCCAGTTCGGTCACCACCACCAGCACCTCAGCTCCCAATACCCTCAGTAGTAAGACAGGATCTTCTCGTCTTCGTTTAACTGGAGACTCTATCAAGGATGCCGACAAATTTTGCTAGAGTAAATCCACTGGTTCTTACTGCAAATATTGGCTAAGTCATGAGGGTCAAGTTTGTCACGGCACTGGAACATCCTGCAGTAGCTTGTTGGTTGAGATACAGGAGTTAACAGACTTCGACTCCAAGACCTCTTGAGATCGTCTTGTATCTACCATCTCCAATAGGTCCATTCATGTGTGGGTGAAGGATGCGGTCACTCCCGATGACGTTGCCGTGGTGGGCCTGGATGCTCTCACTGATGCGGGGTCCCTGAGCGCTGCTCTAAAACTGTCCAATCCATGGTATATCGGCGGAGAAAACCTCTCCAACTTGGAAAATTATGGGATATTCAACCCCGATACCGAATCTATGAGACTGACCAATCTTCCGGTTAGAAGATGGCTCGTCAAGAATAAGATCAAAACTTGTGTTGTTCGAAATGCTGCTTATTAGTTCGATGAGTTCATCCTTCGCCTCCTGTACGAGGATTTTCATTGGGGTCTCAGATGTCTTGAAATGAAGTCGTTTATCCGTTTTCCAAATGGAAAGGCAACACCTCCCGGTTACATTGAATACTCGCCGAAGTCGAGTTGAGTTGAGGTCGCGTCTGAATTGTTTACTCCTCCGCGTCACGTCCTTCCCTGGGCGCCTCCCAAGCTGCTCGAGTTGCATGTTTCCGAGAACCAAGCTTCACCTTGCCTGAGATTCAGAACAGAACCTCTGCCTATCTTGAGAAGTATCGGACCAGAACTACATCTTTAAGATGTCATCTTACAGACACTCAACGCATTGCACACTAGTGAGCAGATGACAAGTACTCAAGAGTATTATTGCTAATTAGAAAGATCTCACCAAGCGCTCCCTGAGGGTGTTCGTAGTGTTTGGATATCCACCGAGTGAGCTGAGACGTTCGCACTCAAATGCTCCGAAACCCTTCTCGGAACCAGATGAATTCAACATAAGTTATTGAATTGGAGAAAAGTATATCTTCAGTTCCAAAGCCCGGAAGTCGGTCTCCATAGCCGATGCATAAGTCGACTTATTCTTCATAATTCAATAGTATTCATGCGACTGGTTGAGGGAAAGGCTCATATTCGTGATGAATATCACGCCAAGGCCATGGAGGCCGCGATAGTATTCCTCTCAATATAATTGCATCTGTCCCTTCATTGGGGTATTTCTGGTATTGGAATGTCTACCGTACCACCCGGATATCTAATTGGTGAATGAAGGGGCCGCTATGCCTATGGACTATACCACTGACAAATCTGTTTGGTGGATGAAGGGGCCGCTATGCCTATGGACTATACCACTGACAAATCTGTTTGGTGGATAGAGGGGCCGCTATGCCTATGGACTATACCACTGACAAATCTGTTTGGTGGATAGAGGGGCCGCTATGCCTATGGACTATACCACTGACAAATCTGTTTGGTGGATAGAGGGGCCGCTATGCCTATGGACTATACCACTGACAAATCTGTTTGATGGATAGAGGGGCCACTATGCCTATGGACTATACCACTGACAAATCTGCTTGGTGAATAGAGGGGCGGCTATGCCTATGGACTATACCACTGACAAATCTGTTTGGTGGATAGAGAGGCAGCTATGCCTATGGACTATACCACTGACAAATGTGTTTGGTGGATAGAGGGGCCACTATGCCTATACCACTGACAAATCTGTTTGGTGGATAGAGGGGCCACTACGCCTATGGACTATACCACTGACAAATGTGTTTGGTGGATAGAGGGGCCACTATGCCTATGGACTATACCACTGACAAATCTGTTTGGTGGATAGAGGGGCCGCTATGCCTATGGACTATACCACTGACAAATCTGTTTGGTGCATAGAGGGGCCGCTATGCCTATGGACTATACCACTGACAAATCTGTTTGGTGGATAGAGGGGCCACTATGCCTATGGACTATACCACTGACAAATCTGTTTGGTGGATAGAGGGGCCACTATGCCTATGGACTATACCACTGACAAATCTGTTTGGTGGATAGAGGGGCCACTATGCCTATGGACTATACCACTGACAAATCTGTTTGGTGGATAGAGGGGCCACTATGCCTATGGACTATACCACTGACAAATCTGTTTGGTGGATAGAGGGGCCGCTATGCCTATGGACTATACCACTGACAAATCTGTTTGATGGATAGAGGGGCCACTATGCCTATGGACTATACCACTGACAAATCTGTTTGGTGGATAGAGAGGCAGCTATGCCTATGGACTATACCACTGACAAATGTGTTTGGTGGATAGAGGGGCCGCTATGCCTATGGACTATACCACTGACAAATCTGTTTGGTGGATAGAGGGGCCACTATGCCTATGGACTATACCACTGACAAATCTGTTTGGTGGATAGAGGGGCCGCTATGCCTATGGACTATACCACTGACAAATCTGTTTGATGGATAGAGGGGCCACTATGCCTATGGACTATACCACTGACAAATCTGTTTGGTGGATAGAGAGGCAGCTATGCCTATGGACTATACCACTGACAAATGTGTTTGGTGGATAGAGGGGCCGCTATGCCTATGGACTATACCACTGACAAATCTGTTTGGTGGATAGAGGGGCCGCTATGCCTATGGACTATACCACTGACAAATCTGTTTGGTGGATAGAGGGGCCGCTATGCCTATGGACTATACCACTGATAAATCTGTTTGGTGGATAGAGTGACCGCTGTGCCCACGCGCTATACTACTGACAAATCTGTTTGGTGGATGGAGGGGCCGCTATGCCCATTCACTATACTACTGACAAATCTATTTGGTGAATGGAGGGGCCGCTATGCCCGCGCACTATCCTACTGACAAATCTATTCGTCGAATACAGGGGCCGATATGCCCATAGACCATACGATTTACAAACCCATTTGGTGATTGTGGAGGGGCGCTATACCCATGCACTATACTTCTGACAAATCTATTTGGTGGATGGAGGGGCCGCTATTCCTGTGGACTATTCACCCGCTCTCAATAAGGCTAATTTCCATGCTAGATCGACTATGCCACCATTGAAATATGCCGCATTCGATTGTGCAGACGCTCGACGTAGGATGTTTTATTTCGATAGCCCAATCTACTCAACTGAATGACGTCGTGTTGACTCCAATTCAATGATTGGCAAAGCTGTGTCAAGAGACGTAATCTTCTGGATCCGGGAGAGGTTCGCACGCATGTACAACTGTCTCGCTGTCGCAGCAGGCTGCGATATCGCGCGCACCGCAAGGACAACTCATGAGGTCTTTCATCATCTCGAGTAGTTTCGATTCATTTTGGCTACCGCTGACCGGTGATAGCTTCCACTCTCGCCGTACCCTGCACGACCTACCCGCACTCATAGCACCGGTTTCCTCCTCCTCTCCTGTATTCCGCCAAGTATTGGATCACTGGCTGTTGTTCCCATGACCAGCAATCTCTATAGTATGTTATATCTCGTTTCTTAAACACTACAGTGAAGCATCAGCTGAGCATGATGTCCCTTCAGCTAAGTCTCTCTGTCTGCACCATTGTGACCCTAGCATCCCCACTCATCTATTCAGCGTAAGTAACTGAGAACGATTATTCTTGCACTATTGATCTTTGTTGCAAACTTCAGCCACTAGCTATGCCCCCACACTGTTGCATGCAGATACAAAAGGCTTCCCTAGAAAGGGGAAAAACTTTGCGTTTACGTGCCGCACGGTGTGGCCCGCACCGCACGCATGAACATCAACAATGGATAGTGATATCATTTAACCCACTATCACAAGTTAAATATCCCACTTCTGAGCGCGTGGGTCTGGTGGGCTGGAAGACCGAAGGTGTCTGTGGCTTCCAGCCATAGGTCTTCGGTGCGAAGGGGCGGAGATCGCTGAGCTTCCTGTCAAGTATTCAGCGGGCAGCCCGTTGCGGGCTCTTATTGAAATTATTTTGGTAATTGGGTGACTAAAAAACAAAAAGTTGTCGAAGGTTGGCTGACGTCGTCGACGTGGCCGACAACTTTCTCGTCATAGAGACATGTGAGAAGAATGATCATCATGGGGTTTGACCGTGGGTCGTTCGGTTGAGAGTCACTAACGTACTGCGCTAATAGTTCATCTCTTGTGAGAAGAACCGTTTCGTCAAAAATAAGCGGGCGATGCAACAGTCACACTTTCGCTATATTTTTATGCTGATGAGCAGTGAACGGGGGACAGAACGATACCCTGGTTGTCTTCTGAATCGCCCTGGTCGGGTCGGAATTTTTGCTCACGCACGGTCGGACGGACGCACGCACACGAGTGTTCGTGCACAGTGATATGAGCTCCGCTCGCTTCGCTTGCTCATCAGCCAGCGACGCATCGCTCTCAGCGAACCATCGAATTAGTCCGACAAGCGCCTCTGCTGGCGCCACGCTTGTTGCGCTACGCTGGGCGCGTGCCGGCGATGCGACGCCGCGTACGATCGCGACGCCTACCGATGCTTGCTCCCGGGAGGGACGGGCTGGGTTGAAAAAGATCATACACGGCATACGCCGCCTGATTCTGTAAAACTGCGGCGATGTTCGCCCGCACGGGTCGTTTCACGACGCGCTGTGACGGAGACGCACTGCGTGACCTTGTGTTGTGGGTCCCAGTTTGCCTGCACCCTTGTAATCTCATCAAACCTTCGCCTTCCTCATTATAGCGAATGAGCCCAATATCGATTACTGTGCTGCTCAGTCTGTGGTATTCGTACAGAACATAAGTGCAGGTAGTGCGCTCATTGTTATTGTCCTAGGGTCGTAGTATTTGACCAATACTATTGGTTGCTCTAGCTCGAGTTCCCTTGTTGTGTTGTTCTTAGAGTTCATCAACCGATACCCCGACACTTGACGCACTGCGTGACGGTGACGCACTGCGTGACGGAGACGCACTGTGTGACGCGCCCTCCGTATTTAACGTTTGCCGGTAGCGGTATGTGGTCGGTGAATACTGTAGTCATAACAAGATTTGATGACGTTTGTATGGGGATCAATCTACCGAAAACAGCTTTTTTGTTGTTAGAGTCTCTGGTGAAAGATGCTGCATTATTAGTATAGCCGGGACAAATGTTTGGGTCGAGTTCGCTCTCTTAGTTCTGGTCAACCACCATGTCTGGGAACAAATATCTCATGTTTAATCTAGCGGCAGTTGCTACAGCGGCCCCCTTCCTTGCCAAGCATCAGTCTGTGGGTGGTAAAGTGTCTATAACCATTGCTACTACCAACGATGTCTATTCAATGTATGCTCGTCCAATGTCTGGGAATGGTTATTACTTTGAGGGTACTCCTTCTGAGCAGTTTTATTCGATCTTTGAGAAGGATGCTGACACTTGTTATGGTACGGCGGGTGCGATGGGCATGCCCGAAGCTTCTGTTGATAAGCTTCATAATATCGATCTATCGGCCACCGGTGGTAAGGTGATGACCAAGGAGGACAGTGGTTGTGTGGATCCTTCTAAGTTCGATGACATGGTTCGTGATCCTTCATCTGCGTGGGGTAATACGGCCCAAATGGCAGGCACCTATAAGTACCTTGGTCTGACTGCCGATACTGATGAGTATATCAGCATGCTCCCCGGTGATTTCGTTGCTATGTCTTACCTCTCCTCCATCACGTATGGTCAGCATATGGTAGATATAATGAACGCTGGTGAGGTTGACTTGGTGGCATTTGGGAATCATGAATTCCAGTTCAAGAATAAGTGCCCTCCTGCAGACCTCGGTAACCATCCCGAGTATAACGATGTGTGTGTTGCATGGAATATGGCCACTGGCAACTTCCTCTATCTCAGCAATAACGTCTTTGAGGATGCTAAGAAGACCAAGCTATTCGGTTCTACTCTGAAGGTCCCTGATGAGATCTCATTTGTCAATGCCGCTGTGCCAAAGAACAAGAAGGTTTTCAATGAGGAGACCAGCTACTACGCTCCCTCTGGTGACTACTGGTTCAAAATGGTCAAAGGCAAGAAGGTTTGCTTCACCGGCACCACTGAGACTTCGGCCGCTAGTGATATTGCGGGGAAGAGTAACGTGTGGTTTTCCGATATGATGGAGTCCGCAGTCGAGGCTGCTCGCAAGATGAATGAGGATGGTTGCAACTTGGTTATCATCCTCACTCATCAGCGTGAGGGTTATGATGTCCTCTTATGGAGGAAGGCTGTTGTGGAAGAGGGTATCAGGATCGATGCTATCATTGGTGCCCATGATCACTTCCCTGCTTTCTTGAATCTTCAACACCCCACTAAGCCTGATATTATAACTCCTGTGTGGAAGATGGGTATGGATGCTCAAATCCTCGGCAAGTTCGTATTTGACTTTGATGATCAACATCCTAATGGTAAACTCCGCTTCGCTCATGCCATTCCGGTGTTGGATGGTCAGTGTGATCAGCACTTCATCGGTACGGACAATGAGGAGTGGTGGAACAATAACGTGATGCAGACCTGGTCACACTGGGTACAGCCTATCAAGCCTCTCCAGGATACTAACATAAGCAATTTGTTATTTGCTGGTTTGTACGACACTGCGGATATCCGCTCTGCCGAGTCCCGTGCTGGTAACATGCTGGCTGATCTATTCCTACGTAACATTTCAGCTCATTTTGCGGCTCTTTGCGGTGGCACTATCCGTTATGGTTTGAGTCAGAACTTCACAGAGCGCCTTCCCCTCACTGCATTGGATTTGTTTGAAGAGACTCCTTTCCTCGGTGGTATGGTCTCCTATGACATATCCTTAATGGAGGTCTTTGGTTATATGATCTATTCGGCTCCAATCGCCATGGGCGGTCCTAATGCGCCGCGTCCGGTCACCTCTGGTTTCGAGATCGAGATGGATCCTACCTCTACTCAACATGGTGGTGTGAAGTTCATCCGTTTCACTGGTACGAGTCATATGGCTGGTATTGTCAACCGTACCCAGGCTGAATGTGGTCATCCGACTTTGAAGTGTGGTGAGATTATTTGGAATGCTGAGGAGGGTTGGAAGGTCGATCCTTTCACTATGGTCGTCGTCACTGTTCCTGCGTACAATGCTAGATACTCTCCGAACGACGCCCCCACCTTGCGCAGGTCGTACCATTTGACTCAAATGTCGGACCTGTGCAGACGTGGTGCTGATAGCTACGCCATCGACCTCAATGGAGAATCCACATCCTTCGCTTGCCCCCCTGGCCCCGACTTCTTCAACTACTTGAATAAGCAGTTGCCCTGGACTGATTGTGGATATGTCGACGGCGGCTCTACCACCACTCCCAGTCCGGTCACCACCACCACATCAGCTCCTGGTACCCTCACCTTCTGGCATCAGATCCTCATCAGATTGGCATCAGTTGCTGATGCCGACTCTTCGACCTGTTGGGCTCATCTCGACTCCACTATTCTCAAGAGGTCTGTTCATGTCTGGACTGATGAAGCTGTTACTCCTAAGGATGCTGAGGTTATTGATACCTCCACTCCGATGGCCGAAGGATTAGTTGGTGCTGGTCTGCTCCTCCCTAAACCATGGTATGTTGGTGGTGAACATCCTGAGGATCTAAAGGTCTATGGCATTAGCGATCCCGATGTTGAGTCTATGGAGTTCGCTAATCTTCCGGTTCGTCGTTGGTTAGAGAAGGCATCTGGTGCTAGCGAGGATGACCTTGTGCTGACACCTCCCGTTGAGAGTCCTAAGAAGACTGTTGGCCAGTTCTACGGCATGAAAGTTGATCCTCGTACCATTCTCGCTCTACATCAGTAGGGTTTCATGTTTTTGTTCGAGTAAGTCCAATGATACGTAATGTTGTGACAGATTTCTACCGGATTTTTGAAATCAATAAGAATCGATGTGTTTCGTACACCTGGTGTATCTGTTGTATGTTACGGAGTTTCTTGGAAACTCCGAAAACTTATCTTTCGTCTTCCCATTGTTTTTCTTGTCCATATGATATCATGGTTTGTTAATGTGAAGCTCGCTATATCAGCTTTATTTCACCTTCAATTGAGAGCGTCTTCAGTTCTTAGTACTAGTTGTGTTTTTGTTGAGGAGTAACGGGCCAAACTCGAAGAAAGTCATTGCATCAGTGGGCTGATAATGTTGGATGAAACTGATGATGTATTGACCAACAAAGTGACTCTTGGCGATAATGCAATGCTGTCCAGCAGGACCAACGTTGACATAACTTCAGTATTGCAGTCCCGAGCATGTAAACACAGTGGGTACGGCTGCAAATATGAACTGTATATCGGTGCAATTCGAGCCGTAGCGTCGGTGTTGTACTCGAAACTTCCACACAGTGGTGATATCTCTGCAAAAAGAAAATTGATCACAGGATGAATGCTAGTCGAGTGACACTTGTTATACATAGCGGCGTACAGTATCATGCTTGACTTTACCTCTCGCAATCTGGGGTAACCTACTGCCATGAACACAATGCAACGGGATGAGAGGATATGATGGGATTCCTATCATAGGAACTTACTACCATTCGAGCAGCATTCCTCGAGCATCGCTTGCATCGATGGCAACGGCCATGGAGTGCGCGTTGTTGTGACAACAATGTTATCACTACTGCTGGTCCATTACTTTGTTCGCTATCGAACAGATAGGAGCAACTGCGCAAACTCGATGAGCTAATCTCGTTTCCGCCATCTTCCCAAAGCCTCCTTGTGTTTGAGTGAATACGGTTGTATGAACGGTAAAGTCGCGGAGATTATTAGTTTTCCGTTGACTCCACCATTCTTCCAGTAAGCTGCCTCTTTAACACTATCTTGAGTATTGGACTAGAATTGCAACTTGCATAGAGGGAAGTGATAATCCATCAAAGACGTTACCAACCTCAGAGTACAGAGCACGTCTCGCAGGAACAGTTAATCTGATGGGCTCATCACAGTTGTAAGGGTCGTAGAATATAGAATCAACCAACACATTTGCCCAGCAAGGGTTCTTTTGATGCGAGAAAATCCTGTCTCCAAGGGGAGAATTTTATGGGGACAAGATACTGCGTTCAGATGTTAGCTTGGGATCTCGCTGGGCGGGGCGTGATGCCTCGTTGGTTACATCCCCTATAGGACCTGAAGACTGAGTGGAGCTGCTGTAGGAATAGCTCGAGGGGTAAGCGATCATGGCCGCATCATATGGACTATACAGCTGATAAGACATACACCGTGTGTGTTTCTCAATCTGAATAGTCAAATATCAACTACGTCTCTCGAGTTATACGGAGTTAGGTGCTTCTTGTTCGAAGGACTTTGTTATCACTATGCCAAGGAGCAAATTGCTCATGTTTAATACATCAGCAGTTGCTGCAGCGCCCCCTTTCGTCGCCAAACAACAGTCTGTGGGTGGTAAAGTGTCTATAGCCATTGCTACTACCAACGATTTTCATTCAATGTATGCCCGTCCAATGTCTGGGAATGGTTATTACTTCGAGGATACTCCTTCAGAGCAGTTTTATTCGAGAAGGATGTGAGAATTGATAGAAGAATTAGAGAAGGATGCTGACACTTGTTACGGTACGGCTGGTGCGATACGCATGCCCGAAGCTTCTGTTGATAAACTTTATAATATCGGTTTATCGGCCACCGGTGGTAAGGTGACGACCAAGGAGGACAGTGGTTGTGTGGATCCTTTTAAGTTCGATGATATGGTTCGTGATCCTTCATCTGCATGGGGTAATACGGCCCAAATGGCAGGCACCTATAAGTACCTTGGTCTGACTGCCGATACTGATGAGTATATCAGCTTGCTCCCCGGTGATTTCGTTGCTATGTCTTACCTCTCCTCCATCACGTATGGTCAGCATATGGTGGATATGATGAACGCTGGTGAGGTTGACTTGGTGGCATTTGGGAATCATGAATTCCAGTTCAAGAATAAGTGCCCTCCTGCAGACCTCGGTAACCATCCCGAGTATAACGATGTGTGCGTTGCATGGAATATGGCCACTGGCAACTTCCTCTACCTCAGCAATAACGTCTTTGAGGATGCTAAGAAGACCAAGCTATTGGGTTCTACTCTGAAGGTCCCTGATGAGATCTCATTTGTCAATGCCACCGTGCCAAAGAACAAGAAGATCTTCAATGAGGAGACTAGCTACTACGCTCCCTCTGGTAATTACTTGTTCAAGATGGTCAAGGGCGAGAAGGTTTGCTTCACTGGTACCACTGAGGCGTCTGCTGATGAGCCCATTATCGGCAAGGCCAACGTATGGCTATCGGATGAGTACGAGGCCGGAGTAAACGACACGCGTGAGATGAGTGAGGATGGTTGCAACTTGGTTATCATCCTCACTCATCAGCGTGAGGGTTATGATGTCCTCTTATGGAGGAAGGCTGTTGTGGAAGAGGGTATCAGGATCGATGCTATCATTGGTGCCCATGATCACTTCCCTGCTTTCTTGAATCTTCAACACCCCACTAAGCCTGATATTATAACTCCTGTGTGGAAGATGGGTATGGATGCTCAAATCCTCGGCAAGTTCGTATTTGACATTTGCTGGTTTGTACGACACTGCAGATATCCGCTCTGCCGAGTCCCGTGCTGGTAACGTGCTGGCTGATCTATTCCTACGTAACATTTCAGCTCATTTTGCGGCTCTTTGCGGTGGCAATATCCGTTATGGTTTGAGTCAGAACTTCACAGGGCGCCTTCCCCTCACTGCATTGGATTTGTTTGAAGAGACTCCTTTCCTCGGTGGTATGGTCTCCTATGACGTATCCTTAATGGAGGTCTTTGGTTATATGATCTATTCGGCTCCAATCGCCATGGGTGGTCCTAATGCGCCTCGTCCGGTCACCTCTGGTTTCGAGATCGAGATGGATCCTACCTCTACTCAACATGGTGGTGTGAAGTTCATCCGTTTCACTGGTACGAGTCATATGGCTGGTATTGTCAACCGTACCCAGGCTGAATGTGGTCATCCGACTTTGAAGTGTGGTGAGATTATTTGGAATGCTGAGGAGGGTTGGAAGGTCGATCCCCTCGCTATGGTCGTCGTCGCTGTTCCTGCGTACAATGCTAGATACTCTCCGAACGACGCCCCCACCTTGCGCAGGTCGTACTATTCAACTCAAATGTCGGACCTGTGCAGACGTGGTGCTGATAGCTACGCCATCCTTACGCCGTTCTTCCTGCAAATATTAGCAAAGGCCTGAGGGTTAAGTTTGTCACGGCCCTGAAACATCCTGCAGTAGCTTGTTGGTTGAGACACACGAATTAACAGAGTTCGACTCCAAGACCTGTTTGAATCGTCTTGTATCCACCATCCCCAATAGGTCCATTCATGTGTGGGTGAAGGATGCGATCACCCCCGATGTCATCGGGCCGATGACGTTGCCGTGGTGGGCCTGGATGCTCTCACTGATGCGGGGTCCCTGAGCGCGGCTCTGAAACTGTCTAATCCATGGTATATCGGCGGAGAAAACCTCTCCAACTTGGAGAATTATGGGATATTCAACCCAGATACCGAATCTATGAGCCTGACCAATCTTCCGGTTAGGAGATGGGTCGGCAAGAATAAGATCAAAATTTGGTGTTGTTCGAAATGCTGCTCAGAATGGATACGCCGGGCATTTCCATGGTTCGAATGTTGACCCTCGTACCTTTCTTGCCTTTCATGAGTAATAGCCTCACGTTTTGAATTAGTTACTGAGACATGAACTCTACGGAACGAGTGGACGTTTATTAGTTCGATGAGTTCATCCTTCGCCTCCTGTACGAGGATTTTCGTTGGGATCTCAGATGTCTTGACATGAAGTCATTTGTCCATTTTTTGGATGAAAGAGCAAACTCTCCCGGTTACATTGAATACTCGTTGGAGTCGAGTTGAGTTGAGGTCGCGTCTAAATTGGTTAACCCTCCGAGTCACGTCCTCCCTGGGCGCCTCCAACTTGGGAGTCCCAAATTGCTCAAGTTGTGTGTTTCCGAGAACCAGGCTTCACCTTGCCTGACATTCAGAACAGAACCTCGGTCTAACCCGAGAAGTATCGGACCAGAGCTACATCTTACAGACACTCAACGGATTGCACACTAGTAAGCAGATGACAAGCAATCGGGTGTATTATGGCTCATTAGAAAGATCTCACCGAGCGCTCAGTGAGCGCCGCTCACTGAGGATGTTCATGTTGGGCGGATATCCATCGGGTGAGCTGAGACGTTCGCATTTAAATGCTCCGAAACCCTTCTCGGAACCAGATGAATTCAACATAAGTTATTGAATTGGAGAAAAGTATATCTCCAGTTCCAAAGCCCGGAAGTCGGTCTCCATAACCGATGCATAAGTCGACTTATTCTTCATAATTCAATAGTATTCATGCGACTGGTTGAGGGAAAGGCTCATATTTGTGATGAATATCACGCCAAGGCCATGGAGGCCGCGATAGTATTCCTCTCAATATAATTGCATCTGTCCCTTCATTGGGGTATTTCTGGTATTGGAATGTCTACCGTACCACCCGGATATCTAATTGGTGGATGAAGGGGCCGCTATGCCTATGGACTATACCACTGACAAATCTGTTTGGTGGATAGAGGGGCCGCTATGCCCACGCGCTATACTACTGACAAATCTGTTTGGTGGATAGAGGGGCCGCTATGCCTATGGACTATACCACTGACAAATCTGTTTGATGGATAGAGGGGCCGCTATGCCTATGGACTGTACCACTGACAAATCTGTTTGGTGGATAGAGGGGCCGCTATGCCTATGGACTATACCACTGACAAATCTGTTTGATGGATAGAGGGGCCACTATGCCTATGGACTATACCACTGACAAATCTGTTTGATGGATAGAAGGGCCGCTATGCCTATGGACTATACCACTGACAAATCTGTTTGGTGGATAGAGGGGCCGCTATGCCCACGCACTATACTACTGACGAAGCTACTTGATAAATGGAGGGGCCGCTATGCCCACGCACTATACTACTGACGAAGCTACTTGATAAATGGAGGGTCCGCTATGCCCGCGCACTATACTACTGACAAATCTACTTGGTAAATGGAGGGGCCGCTATGCCCACGCGCTACACTACTGACAAATCTGTTTGGTGAATGGAGGGGCCGCTATGCCCATGCACTATACTACTGACTAATCTACTTGGTGAATGGAGGGGCCGCTATGCCCGTGGACTATACTACTGAAAAATCTACTTGGTGAATGGAGGGGCCGCTATGTCCATGCACTATACTACTGACGAAGCTACTTGGTAAATGGAGGGGCCGCTATGCCCCCGCACTATACTACTGACGAATCTACTTGGTAAATGGAGGGGCCGCTATGCCCACGTACTACACTACTGACAAATCTACTTGGTAAATGGAGGGGCCGCTATGCCCGCACACTATACTACTGATAAATCTACTTGGTAAATGGAGGGGCCGCTATGCCCGCGCACTAAACTACTGACAAATCTACTTGGTAAATGGAGAGGCCGCTATGCCCACGCACTACACTACTGACAAATCTACTTGGTAAATGGAGGGGCCGCTATGCCCGCGCACTATACTACTGATAAATCTACTTGGTAAATGGAGGGCCGCTATGCCCGCGCACTAAACTACTGACAAATCTACTTGGTAAATGGAGGGGCCGCTATGCCCACGCACTACACTACTGGCAAATCTACTTGGTAAATGAAGGGGCCGCTATGCCCGCGCACTATACTACTGATTAAGCTACTTGCTAAATGGAGGGGCTGGTATGCCCGCGCACTATACTACTGTTAAATCTACTTGGCAAATGGAGGGGCCGCTATGCCCGCGCACTAAACTACTGACAAATCTACTTGGTAAATGGAGGGGCCGCTATGCCCACGCACTACACTACTGACAAATCTACTTGGTAAATGGAGGGGCCGCTATGCCCGCGCACTATACTACTGATTAAGCTACTTGCTAAATGGAGGGGCTGCTATGCCCGCGCACTATACTACTGTTAAATCTACTTGGCAAATGGAGGGGCCGCTATGCCCGCGCACTATACTACTGACAAATCTACTACGTAAATGGAGGGGCCGCTATGCCCACGCGCTACACTACTGACAAATTTGTTTGGCGAATGGAGGGGCCGCTATGCCCATGCACTATACTACTGACTAATCTACTTGGTGAATGGAGGGGCCGCTATGCCCGTGGACAATACTACTGAAAAATCTACTTGGTGAATAGAGGGCCGCTATGTCCATGCACTATACTACTGACAAATCTACTTGGTAAATGGAGGGGCCGCTATGCCCGCGCGCTATACTACTGATTAAGCTACTTGCTAAATGGAGGGGCTGCTATGCCCGCGCACTATACTACTGTTAAATCTACTTGGCAAATGGAGTGGCCGCTATGCCCGCGCACTATACTACTGACAAATCTACTTGGTAAATGGAGGGGCCGCTATGCCCCCGCACTATACTACTGACGAAGCTATTTGGTGAATGGAGGGGCCGCTATGCCCGCGCACTACACTACTGACGAGGCTATTTCGTGAATGGAGGGGCCGCTATGCCCGCGCACTATTCGCCCGCTCTGAGTAAGACTAAGTTCCCTGCTAGATCGACTATGCCACCATTGAGATATGTCGCACTCGTTCGATAGCGCAATCCACTCGGATGAATCACTTTTGTTCACTTCAATTTAATGATTGGCAAAGTTGTGTCAAGAGGCATAATCTTCTGGATCCGGGAGAGGTTTGCACGCATATACAACTGTCTCGCAGTTGCGGCACGCTGCAACATCGCGCGCACCGCAGGGATAGCCAATGCACTGAGGTCTTTAAGTATCTTGGGTAGTTATGATTCGGTTTGGCTACCGCTGACCGGTAATAGCTCCCACTTTCGCCTCTCCCTGCACGACCTACTCGCACTCATAGCACCGGTTTCCTCTTCCTCTTCTGCATTCCGCCAAGTATTGGATCACTGGCTGTTGTTACCATGACCAGTAATCTCTATAGGATGTTATATCTCGCTTCTTTTATGCTATAGTGAAGCATCAGTCGAGCATTATGTCTCTTCAGCTGAGTCTCTCTGTCTGCACCACTGTGACCCTAGCATCCCCACTCATCTATTCAGCGTGAGGAACTGAGAACGATTATTCTTGCACTATTGATCTTTGTTGCGAACTTCAGGCATTAGCTATGCCTCTACACTGTTGCATGCAGACACAGAAGGTTTTTTCTGGGCCTTGGCTAAGTTGTAACTGGGAGTCAGCCATGGCATTCAACTCATTCTACGAGGGGGAAAACTTTGCGCTTACGTGCCGCACCGCACGCATGAACATCAACAATGGATAGTGATATCAAATAACCCACTACACAGAGATAGAAGATAAGATACAGCGGGGCGTAGTATTGTCGAACGGAATGGTAGATGGTACAACTCACTTTCTATACGATAGCGCGATTATATATTACGTACAGAGACAGTGTATTGCGTTGAGCTGCTAGCTCAAGAGTCATGCGCTATCATGCTAGCGTGTACTGGTAGCGGCATATGGTTGGTCAATAATGCAGTCATAACGACATTTTCTGATGTTTGTAGGGTGATCAATTTTCCGGATACAGCTTTCTTGTTGTTAGAGTCTCTGGTGAAAGATGTTGCATTATTAGTATAGCCGGAAGGAATGTTTGGGTCGAGTTTGCTCTCTTAGTTCTTGTCAACAACCATGTCTGGGAACAAATATCTCATGTTCAATCTAGCGGCAGTTGCTACAGCGGCCCCCTTCTTTGCCAAGCATCAGTCTGTGGGTGGTAAAGTGTCTATAACCATTGCTACTACCAACGATGTCTATTCAATGTATGCTCGTCCAATGTCTGGGAATGGTTATTACTTTGAGGGTACTCCTTCTGAGCAGTTTTATTCGATCTGTGAGAAGGATGCTGACACTTGTTACGGTACGGCGGGTGCGATGGGATTTCCCGAAGCTTCTGTTGATAAACTGTATAATATCGATCTATCAGCCACCGGTGGTAAGGTGATGACCAAGGAGGACAGTGGTTGTGTGGATCCTTCTAAGTTCGATGATATGGTTCGTGATCCTTCATCTGCATGGGGTAATACGGCCCAAATGGCAGGCACCTATAAGTACCTTGGTCTGACTGCCGATACTGATGAGTATATCAGCATGCTCCCCGGCGATTTCGTTGCTATGTCTTACCTCTCCTCCATCACGTATGGTCAGCATATGGTGGATATGATGAACGCTGGTGAGATAGACTTGGTGGCATTTGGGAATCATGAATTCCAGTTCAAGAATAAGTGCCCTCCTGCAGACCTCGGTAACCATCCCGAGTATAATGATGTGTGTGTTGCATGGAATATGGCCACTGGCAACTTCCTCTACCTCAGCAATAACGTCTTTGAGGATGCTAAGAAGACCAAGCTATTCGGTTCTACTCTGAAGGTCCCTGATGAGATCTCATTTGTCAATGCCACCGTGCCAAAGAACAAGAAGATCTTCAATGAGGAGACTAGCTACTACGCTCCCTCTGGTGACTACTGGTTTAAGATGGTCAAGGGCAAGAAGGTTTGCTTCACTGGCACCACTGAGACTTCGGCCGCTAGTGATATTGCGGGGAAGAGTAACGTGTGGTTCTCCGATATGATGGAGTCCGCAGTCGAGGCTGCTCGCAAGATGAATGAGGATGGTTGCAACTTGGTTATCATCCTCACTCATCAGCGTGAGGGTTATGATGTCCTCTTATGGAGGAAGGCTGTTGTGGAAGAGGGTATCAAGATCGATGCTATCATTGGTGCCCATGATCACTTCCCTGCTTTCTTGAATCTTCAACACCCCACTAAGCCTGATATTATAACTCCTGTGTGGAAGATGGGTATGGATGCTCAAATCCTCGGCAAGTTCGTATTTGACTTTGATGATCAACATCCTAATGGTAAACTCCGCTTCGCTCATGCCATTCCGGTGTTGGATGGTCAGTGTGATCAGCACTTCATCGGTACGGACAATGAGGAGTGGTGGAACAATAACGTGATGCAGACCTGGTCACACTGGGTACAGCCTATCAAGCCTCTCCAGGATACTAACATAAGCAATTTGTTATTTGCTGGTTTGTACGACACTGCGGATATCCGCTCTGCCGAGTCCCGTGCTGGTAACATGCTGGCTGATCTATTCCTACGTAACATTTCAGCTCATTTTGCGGCTCTCAGCGGTGGTAATTTTCGTTATGGTTTGAGTCAGAACTTCACAAAGCGCCTTCCCCTCGCTGCATTGGGTTTGTTTGAAGAGAATCCTTTCCTCGATGGTATGGTCTCCTACGACATATCCTTAATGGAGGTCTTTGGCTATGTGATCTATTCGGCTCCAATCGCCATGGGCGGTCCTAATGCGCCGCGTCCGGTCACCTCTGGTTTCGAGATCGAGATGGATCCTACCTCTACTCAACATGGTGGTGTGAAGTTCATCCGTTTCACTGGTACGAGTCATATGGCTGGTATTGTCAACCGTACCCAGACTGAATGTGGTCATCCGACTTTGAAGTGTGGTGAGATTATTTGGAATGCTGAGGAAGGTTGGAAGGTCGATCCCTTCACTATGGTCGTCGTCACTGTTCCTGCGTACAATGCGAGATACTCTCCGAACGACGCCCCCACCTTGCGCAGGTCGTACCATTTGACTCAAATGTCGGACCTGTGTAGGCGTGGTGCTGATAGCTACGCCATCGACCTCAATGGAGAATCCACATCCTTCGCTTGTCCCCCTGGCCCCGACTTCTTCGACTACTTGAATAAGCAGTTGCCCTGGACTGATTGTGGATATGTCGATGGTGGCTCTACCACCACTCCCAGTCCGGTCATCACCACCACATCAGCTCCTAGTACCCCCAGCAGTACGACAGAATCCTCTCGTCCTCATTACACTGAAGAATCTGTCAAGAATGCCGATAAATTCTGCCAGAGTAAATCTGCCGGTTCTTACTGCAAGTATTGGCAAACTTCTGAGGGTCAAGTTTGTCACGGCACTGAAATATCGTGCAGTAGCTTGTTGGTTGAGGGGCGGAGATTGGCATCAGTTGCTGATGCCGACTCTTCGACCTGTTGGGCTCGTCTCGACTCCACTATTCTCAAGAGGTCTGTTCATGTCTGGACTGATGAAGCTGTTACTCCTGAGGATGCTGAGGTTATTGATACTTCAACTCCGATGGCCGAAGGATCAGTTGGTGCTGGTCTGCTCCTCCCTAAACCATGGTATGTTGGTGGTGAGCATCCTGAGGATCTGAAGGTCTATGGCATTAGCGATCCCGATGTTGAGTCTATGGAGTTGGCTAATCTTCCGGTTCGTCGTTGGTTAGAGAAGGCGTCTGGTGCTAGCGAGGATGACCTTGTGCTGACATCTCCCGTTGAGAGTCCTAAGAAGACTGTTGGTCAGTTCTACGGCATGAAGGTTGATCCTCGCACCATTCTCGCTCTACATCAGTAGAGTTTCACGTTATTGTTCGAGTAAGTCGAGTGATATGTAATGTTGTAATGGCTTTTTACTGTAGTTTTGTCAGCGATAAGAATCGATGTGTTGTATACTTGATGTTGTACCGTACAATTTCGCGGTTGGTGTATCTGTTGTATGTTATGGAGTTTCTTGAAACTCAGAAAGCTTATCATTTCTCTTTCCATTGTTGTTCTTGTGCCATATCTTATCTCGGTTTTTTAATGCGAAGCTATATCAGCTCGTTTTCACGTTCAATTCAAAGTGGCTTTAGTTCGTAGTACTAATTATATTTCCTTCTAAGGAGTAACGGGCCAAACTTTAAGAAAGGCATTGCATTAGTGGACTAATAATGTTGGATGAAACTCATGTGTTGCCCAACTTGGTGATAATGCAATGCTGTCCAGCAGGACCAACGTTGACATAACTTCAATATTGCAGTCCCGAGGATGTAAACACAATGGGTACGGCTGCAAACATGAACTGTATATTGGTGCGATTCAAGCCGTAGCGTCGGTGTTGTACTCGAAACTTGCACACAGTGGCGATATCTCTGCGAAAAAGAAAATAGTGAACAGTGGCCACAACATTCATGCGTGTGACGTTGATCACAGGATAAATGCTAGTCGAGTGACACTTGTTAGGCATAGCGGCGTACAGTATCATGCTTGACCTTACCTCTCGCAGTCTGGGGTACCCTACTGCCATGAACACAATGCAACGGGATGAGAGGACACGATAGCATTCCTATTATAGGAACATACTACCATTCGAACAGCATTGCTCGAGCGTCGCTTGCATCGATGGCAACGGCCCTGGAGTGCGCGTAAAGGGTATCCATCGATCATAGTATTTGTTGTTGTGACAACAATGTTATCACTACTGCTGGTCCATTACTTTGTTCGCTATCGAACAGATAGGAGCAACTCGATGAGCTAATCTCGTTCTCGCCATCTTCCCAAAGCCCCCTTGCGTTTGAGTGAACACGGTTGTATGAACGGTAAGGAAGGTCGCGGCGAGTATTAGTTTTCCGTTGACTCCACCATTCTTCCAGTAAACTGCCTCTTTAACACTATCTTGAGTATTGGACTAGAATTGCAACTTGCATAGAGGGAAGTGATAATCCATCAAAGACGTGACCAACCTCAGAGTACAGAGCACGTCTCGCAGGAACAGTTAATCTGATGGGCTCATCACAGTTGTAAGGGTCGTAGAATATAGAATCAACCAACACATTTGCCCAGCAAGGGTTCTTTTGATGCCAGAAAATTTTGTCTCCAAGGGGAGAATTTTATGGGGACAAGATACTGCGTTCAGCTGTTAGCTTAGGATCTCGCCGAGAGGGGTATATGTAGCGCGAAGCTTGAGGTCGACCCCCGTACCATTCTTGCCTTGCATCAGTAAGATGCCCATTGACATGAACAGTCTTTGTTTATAAATGTGTTCATCAAACTTGTACAGTGCTACGTGAAGCTTATGTTCATAATCTCGTTTGTGCTATAGGTTATCTTGATTATTCAACACGTGCTGTATCAGCTCGCTGTGATGCTAAACCCGAAGTGTGTTGAGTTTTCAGTGCGCACATTACGGAACCCACTTTGTCACTATTCAACACGAGACCAGGGGATTATGAAGGAATGATGACAGGGACTAGTAGTAACAAGTAATGAACAAATGTCGAATAGGTCATCTCATTCGACGTTTTTGATACTCTCGCATCTCAGTTTCAGTAACTTGGGTTTCACTAGTCTCTTTCCGCTTCATGCGTTTAGCTCGATCGCACAGTTTCTTCTCGTCCGCTTTGAGCATCATTTCAGACTCCGTGTCTGAAGGCCTTTTCTTGGCAATCTCGCTAGGAACACTGTGATATAGCTCAGGGTCAGCTAGAGTGATGGAGTATTGACTCGGCTTGCAGACAACACGCTTCTCTTTAATGTTCGAGAAGAAGTTAGTGAGGACAGTTTGAATGACTGGGCAATCCCCGGCCGCGTTCTTAACCAGAACAACAACATAGTCAGCATCGGGATTCTGGGCAACAGCGAGCTCGTTACGGGACATCTCGAACTTGATGGTACCCTCAGATCGCAGTGTTCCCTTCACTTCAAGCCGGACCCAACGAGGACCATCCTCCGTAGGATTAGAGAAGACACCTTTAGTATCGAGTAATTCGAAATCATACCCGAGCCGATCGTCCACACCATCGCGACCATGGTCTGGATAGCAGGCCGTCCTCGCGCTGGTCTTCCACCAGTCAAGGGAGAACTCCTCAGCATAGATCTTTTGGAGTGTGTGGGCAACGAACAATTCCGCGAGGATACCAGCGTCCTCAAGTTTACCCTTTATAGCAGAGTCGAAGACCATTCGCAGACCGTTGCCTGGTCCATGCCGTTTAGTCCTATAGAAACGACCTTGCGAATTGCGCAAGGGATGGTAGGAAGCACTTTGGGGAGCACTCGAGGTGGAGGATACGGACGATAACGACTCGGGAGGAGGAGATGACGACATATCAACTGAGTCGGGCCTTATCTCATACCACTCCCCAACGAACACAACACCAATAAGACCACAGCACAGCATATCTCCATGGATAGTATAGTCCTATGGTGCCTCCCGTCTCGGCCTACTGCCAGGTGGTCGTGGCCTCACCCCCTTCCCACGTGGCGGCAACAGTGGCCTCTTCAACGCCCCTGGCGATACCCCCCGACCTTTACCCCCCTTCTTAGGCCCTCCACTGGGTGAGGGGGGTGAAGGGCTTGGAGCCTTCGGTATGGACTTCGGCTTACCTTGGACCACTATTGGCTGAGACCTGTTCGTCATCATCATAGCAGCGCGTGCCGAATTACAAACTGTTACTTACTTTTCCGCCTCTACCGTACCGGCCGGTTCCCTATCCCCTTCACTTCCCTGTGGTCGTCCCTCCGTGTGAGGAACACTGACCCCAAGGATGGCCACCCTTTGGGCCTGGGCTATGGCCCTCTCCCGCTCTGTTTTCGACATAGACTGTAGCAATACATGATTATAATACTCAGTGATTTCCTCATCAGCATATCCCCTTCTACGAAGCTCATCTTTCCATACGTCCATCCTGATCAGATGCCCTCTATGCAGTGTCGGAGAAATATATGTTATCGCTTCCTAAACTCAGGTATTATAACACTTTATATACGAATTCGTGTACAGTATAAGAACTTCCTCAACACATGTAGTTGACCATGTACACCTCCCCTGCCCTACTGTTCGGCCACCGGCCTACTCCTCCAATACGCCAACTTCTCATTTTCCGCTTTCTTCAACAACCGACACTCCAACCGTAAGAGCTCCAATCCGTCCACCCACACCTCTCGATCCCTCCTTATTGTCCTATACCGCTCCTCAATACTCTTCCCCTCTGACAACCACCAACAAGTGAAATAGCGCGCGCCCGAGTGATCGATTTGCATTGCCTACCACTGTTCTTGTATTTGAATGAGAAGTAGTTGGACTGATCTGTGTCGCGGTGGACTGACGTAATAGACAATACCGAAATCATCACATCTGGATCTTCCGGATCTGCATAGTTCTCCTATATCACCAACATGGACACTTACCATACCTTTTTCGAATTCTCGTCGGCTTTCCCAGAGGCACCAAAACCTGTGAAACCATCCATGGCCACACATTAGTTGTAGGAGCGAGATGTGACCATTTCAATGGGACATAGTCCCTGGCCCAGCCCTTCTCCTGAGCCTTCTTCTTAAGCTCATCTATATCGGGCTCAGAGTCACTACTACTCCGGGGGAGCAACTCGCATACCGCTGCGAATATTTCTTTCCCTTTCCCACTACCCCCAAGACGCCTTGTGGACTTCCGACGTTCGAGTCGGCCTTGTAAGACCGACGCGAGGACTTTCACTTTCCTACTACCAGTGACATTCCTCTGTACGTTGTCACCCATCACATCTAGCACTTCGCCATCTATACAAACACACATGTAATTGCGATCTGAGGAGAGCTATTGCGATTCCAGCAATATGCTTAGCTCGGGGGTTTCCTCACTATTTTATGAAGGACGATTTTGGGTATAAGTATCCAAAAATCAACGATGATATCACAAAATTTCCTAGCAACACATGTGGTTGACCCCCCGCACTGTGCAATTCGGAAAATGTCTGTGGTCTGAACTCGGCGAAAGAGTCTATCGAAGCCCACGAACAGCTATACTTACGAAAATCCTGAGGGGGTGCGTCCGAGACAATATATACTCGATGAATGTATTCGAAAAAACCACACCTCAAATTTCGAACCACACGGCTGGGCTCCACCGAAAGTCAACTCCAATCGAGTGAAATCAGCTTAACACACGGCGAGCTCCCAGGCATAGCATCCGATTCCACGCAAGAGGCTGGGATATTATCGAGCTGTGATTATCTTTCTCCTTGTGTGTTGACCTACACAGTGCTGGGTGTATGTCCGGGTCTAGACCTTCTACTACGGGGTCCTCATCAGCGTCCGAGTCTTCATCGATGTTACTATCCACTACGACAAGGTAATGATTTCAAGGAGCTGTGAAGTGTACGCATTTAAAGATGTGACAGTCTCCTGCCCGATTGAGTAACCTCTTACTGCAAAACAGTCTAAAACTATAGACGTTTCTATTGTTTAAAGCTTCTCCCATATCGTAAAATTTTACGGAAAAAATATGGAATTTCTGCGAAAATTTTACGTCTAGCAACATTCCTGAATGATGATTTTACGGTAAAAATATAGAACTTCTGCGGAAATTTTGGGAAAATATTATCGTTGGTTTTTGCACACTTTTCACCAAATCATATGTGAATTTTCATAATGTAGCAATGAAACTCATGAGCTCAACTGAGGAAACCCACAAAATTTCACCCGTTTCACTTAAAGTGGCGTAATACTCCGCCCTATACAATGTCGCGAAAGACAATTTTCACATCACTAGTTTCCCCGCGGTGATAACTACCTTTCCGAAAAGTGAGGGTCAGTTGTCCAGCCACGCTGCCATCCTTAGCGTGAAGTTTGTGACTAAACCGTCACTCAGGAGGAAGAGCATATCGAACCCTTCCTACTCCTTTCTGGCGTTCAAAAACTTATCAGCTTGCTTGACGAAATGCTTTTCGACAGACCATTGCACTAAACCGATGAGAGTATCCGAGCGCGGGCCCGACTTCTTAGCCATCAACGACGCCTTCACATGAGAACACCCTTGAGGAATCATCAATCGTCTCGTCTCCTCCCATTTTGCATTCTTATTAACTACCACAGGTCATCATCAATGTGATCGTTTTTTTTTCAGCGGAGCTTATGAGTTTTCTCACTAATCACAGAAAGTCACCAAAAAATTTCTTCAGAATTTTCATATTTCACCACACGTATTAGCAATCTGCTTACCCATGCTCCTGCAACACTCATACTTTGCCTCCACCACAACATAGAGATTAGCTGACCCCAGGAGTGACGTATTCCTGAAGTCCTTTGCCGAGTGAATAGTGACCGTAATAGGAAAGCTCGGGTACTAAAAAACGCGTCTCAAAAAATATATATATGTGATCGCTTTCCTCAGCTGAGTTTGTGATTTTCCTCACTAGTAAAACATACAAATTCGAGTAGAAGTGTATGTAAGCCTTTGAGAACTTCTTAGAATTTCCTCAGCATTTTTTCACATTGTCGTCACCTTGTCAATGCCCCATGCCAGGAAGAGCTTGTCCATACCACAAACGGCTCGAATATCAAAACCTCGCCAGCACTGCTTTAATTTCACGAAGCACCATCGTAGGCTGAGGCTAATAATAAAAATGTAACAAGAGGAGCTCATCCAATCCTACCAGATACCACAAACTGCGCAAATCGCGAAAAAACCGGTAGCTGATCCAACGGCCCCTAGAAGGCCACCACCGGGGATCAACATAGAGACCATATTCGTGCCGGCACTCGCGATGGACATAGGAAGGCTGGAATGGTATGCTGTAGAGGCTTACGACAGCAGAGGAGGAGCTCGGGTAGAAAGGCTTCTTATTATCATATATAGTAGAGCTTCGTCACGAGCTACCGATGCACAATACCACAACTACTATTGGTAAGGGTTAGCAGATACTAGAAAGTATAGGGCGAATAAATGTAGTAGTAGTAGTTCGACTCGGTGGTAGTAGATAATCATATGAGAGCTCTCTACCTCTAGATGAAAATAGCCAACTCCTCACATGAGGATGAATGCGAGCTCACGTAGACAATCTCCTTATTAGCACATACTTCCACAACTCGAAAATTCCCTTTTGAGAAACATGCTCCTGAATTCGATGCTCAGAGCTCCTCACGATCGTCCTCAATCAGCATCCCACGACTCGTGAAAATTTTACGTCGAGCTCGCTTAGCCGCGTTAAACATGGACTGAAGGCTCGGCTGAGATGCTCTCCTGCCACTACTGTTATTATCACCAGGCCTATTCTCATCATTGCCTAAGGACAATTCCGGACCTATTCTGAATCTTTGCAAACTACCCTCAAGATACTCATCGTCGTGCCAATCGAACTCAAGTGCTCTCTTTTTTTCGATCTCTTCGATGGTAGACCACGAAAATCTAATCTGCCGCGGGAATAAGAATACAGGATCCACCACCTGTGACGGATACCACTCCATCACCACATCGTAGATTGAATACCTCACCTTCTCCAACCACTCCACCGTCTGAGCGTCCCCAGGGTAGCCGCTGCCCACCTTTACACTCCTACAAAGCGTCGCCACGCCTTCTCCCTGATAATATAAACCATGAATAACCAACGAAAATTGAGAAAAGCGTCGGGACCCCCAGGGTTTGATAACAATGGTAGAAATGATGATCCTAATGTGGTGATGACATGCATATGGGAACTGGTTGAAGAATGTGTTCCTAGTCATACGAAAAATTCAAAATGAGTTCTCCCTTCGAAAACCCTGGAGTTTCACAACCCGTTTTACGTGAAGTGGCGTCGTAATACTCTGTGAAAAACTCGATATTCGCGATAATATACAGTAGTCGTGAAATCTGTTTTTTTCATATCACTAGGGTAGTTCCTGACGCTCACCTCAGGATAGTACGATATTTCCTCCTCAACGAGCCTATCCCGAATGACCTTAGCACAGATGGAAGCTGCTGAACATATAGGGTAAATCGCATCTGCTTTTTTGCACACCTAAAACGCCTTAGAACAACTCCACTATTTATCGTCAGCTCTTACCACAATAGTGTCAACTCCTCGGCGTTTGAATATACTACTGAGCTTATTCTGGTACCTCTCAGGGTCACCAACAGTATCAACGTAGACCTCTTTAACGTTGATGCCCTCAGACAGGGCGTGCTCAATCAAGCCTATGGCTGTCTCGTGAGAGATTCTATTTAAGTTCACTTTATTCCTGATGTCCAATACCATCACTACCACAACTAACCTTACTAGTACTACTACTACCTCCTGAGCATTTTAGTGCTGATCTCATGCGCGGTCAACACGTGTACGGCGAACCCAAGGACCCCATCATCCTTGAGGGCCTCATTATGAATACCCTCGAACAATTCGCTTCGCTTCGCCTCTGATGATACACAATTTCCAATCCCTACCAGCACTGCGGACTACCCCACCAGTGAGCTGTTTCGAATCGTTGAATCCCATCTTCCCTAGTGCGTCACTTTTCCTTATCTGTGATGAGCCTACCCCACTACAAAGTCGGTGGCTTACATCACTGATAGCAGCACCATAAACCATAGGACCGAACACAGGGCCTCGACCAGCCTCGTCTATGCCAAGTTGGTAATAACGCGCCGCATCGTCCTTAATATTCAACAACAGCTACTACTATTACTGGTTCGCTGCTCTTCTTCACTACCTTAGCCGAGTTCTTGCAGCACTCGAGCTGAGCGTAGATCCCCCCAACTTCCGTTACTTCCTTGGGGAGACAGGATAGTGCCGCGGATGATGAAGAGCCACCAGTGCTGGACATTCAGATGGCTTTATCAAGGGTCCTGTTTAAGAAGCGAGACTACTGGGGAAATCCTCATTTCTAAAGAATAGGCGTCTTTTCTAAAGAAGTTTAGCACACGCTCTCACCTGCATTTCGGTTTAGCCTTGGATTGCAGTCTGGCAAAAATCGCGCAAAAGCTCCTTTGAACTAAGCGCTAAGACCCACTTCCTGAGATCGTTTCCAGAGCTGGTTCTATGAACAGAAAATCCCAGAATCGTTCATAGAAACGCCGCTTCGACCAGGGGTCCCGATGGAGGCACTCGATAAAGGAATGCTATTTTTAAGAGAGAAGGCGAGCCTCCGGCGGCCCGCCGAGCCTAAGCCGCATCTTTAGGGCAGTATTCTATACTAAGCGGTGCTCAGGGATGTGAACGAATGTTCCTATGCTAATGTACCTTGGAGGTTGTGGTGATAGCATTCGGACTGGGATCGCCTCAAGCCTTCAGCACCCTTCAGCAGTGATATGCAGATCCTGTCCACTATCAACTCGAGCTATCAAATGCTTAAATTGTCCGACATACGACGTTGCAACTGAAAAAAAATCTGGAAAATAGTCGAGACTCGGGTTTGAACCTGGGCAGACGATTTGCGCATGAGAATTTTTTCGCTCGCCCTAAATTCGTCATAGATGGGGTAAATTCAGACAAAATCCAGCTGCCGCTGCTAAGCTCCGACAATGGGAAGGCGAGCTGTGAAGCAGGGAGCCGCTCGGCCGGTTCGACTGCACGAAGCCGCAGAACCAGCCGAGATTGCTGCGCAATATTGTTCTCGTTCGAGGGCTAGTCGAACGATTCGCGAACGTGTTCCTCGTGTTGTGTGTTTCTGCAGCTACTGGGTGGACTCCCACCGTGGGAGACGTTTGTGAACTCGCGACCAGTAGCTCAGATGCCCGACCGTGCTCAAACCACAGGCACTGACTGCTCGGAGGTATCAGTGGTGGTGTTGAAGCTGAGTCAGGTCGAAATGTCTCCGGTTTGGGGTCTTCCCTGGGGCATATTCTCATGCGCGCCCCTAATTCTGCCGCCCCGCCCCTAATTCTTTCGCTCCGCCCCAAAATTTTAGAAAATGCCCTTATATTAATACAATGCCCCTAAGTCAAAACAAAAAGCTAAAGCCGCCTGCGGCGCAGCATATCCTCATGGCTTTGGAATCTCGAGGATAGTCAAATCAATAGGATGCACAAATAGTCAGTTTCCACATCATTTCTTTGTCACTTGGTCGCAACAGTCAACTCCGTATGCATTGAGGAAATGCAAGGGAGCAAGCTCTTGTAAGGGCACCGAGCTCAGTATCAACGATTGCCGAACTTCAGTGTCTCGAATATCATATCCGTGGCTATTCCCATACAGTTCAAGTATACACCCAGATTCTGTGAACTATAGAGTGGGGGAGCGTGGACGGAATTTGACCGTCAATATCAACGATTGCTGAACTTCAGTGTCTCGAACATCATATCCGTGGCTATTCCCATACAGTTCAAGTATACACCCAGATTCTGTGAACTATAGAGTGGGGGAGCGTGGACGGAATTTGACCTTCAATATCGTCGATTGCTGAACTTCGGTGTCTCGAACTTCATATCCGTGGCTATTCTGATACAGTTTAAGTATACACCCAGATTCTGTGAACTATAGAGTGGGGGAGCGTGGACGGAATTTGACCGTCAATATCAACGATTGCTGAACTTCGGTGTCTCGAATATCATATCCGTGGCTATTGTGATACAGTTTAAGTATACACCCAGATTCTGTGAACTATAGAGTGGGGGAGCGTGGACGGAATTTGACCGTCAATATCAACGATTGCTGAATTTCGGTGTCTCGAATATCATATCCGTGGCTATTCCCATACAGTTCAAGTATACACCCAGATTCTGTGAACTATAGAGTGGGGGAGCGTGGACGGAATTTGACCGTCAATATCAACGATTGCTGAACTTCGGTGTCTCGAATATCATATCCGTGGCTATTCTGATACAGTTTAAGTATACACCCAGATTCTGTGAACTATAGAGTGGGGGAGCGTGGACGGAATTTGACCGTCAATATCGTCGATTGCTGAACTTCGGTGTCTCGAATATCATATCCGTGGCTATTCTGATACAGTTCAAGTATACACCCAGATTCTGTGAGCTATAGAGTGGGGGAGCGTCGACGGAATTCGACCGTCAATATCAACGATTGCCGAACTTCAGTGTCTCGAACATCATATCCGTGGCTATTCCCATACAGTTCAAGTATACACCCAGATTCTGTGAACTATAGAGTGGGGGAGCGTGGACGGAATTTGACCGTCAATATCGTCGATTGCTGAACTTCGGTGTCTCGAATATCATATCCGTGGCTATTCTGATACAGTTCAAGTATACACCCAGATTCTGTGAGCTATAGAGTGGGGGAGCGTCGACGGAATTCGACCGTCAATATCAACGATTGCCGAACTTCAGTGTCTCGAACATCATATCCGTGGCTATTCCCATACAGTTCAAGTATACACCCAGATTCTGTGAACTATAGAGTGGGGGAGCGTGGACGGGATTTGACCTTCAATATCGTCGATTGCTGAACTTCAGTGTCTCGAACATCATATCCGTGGCTATTCTGATACAGTTTAAGTATACACCCAGATTCTGTGAACTATAGAGTGGGGGAGCGTGGACGGAATTTGACCGTCAATATCAACGATTGCCGAACTTCAGTGTCTCGAACATCATATCCGTGGCTATTCCCATACAGTTCAAGTATACACCCAGATTCTGTGGACTATAGAGTGGGGGAGCGTGGACGGAATTTGACCTTCAATATCGTCGATTGCTGAACTTCGGTGTCTCGAACTTCATATCCGTGGCTATTCTGATACAGTTTAAGTATACACCCAGATTCTGTGAACTATAGAGTGGGGGAGCGTGGACGGAATTTGACCGTCAATATCAACGATTGCTGAACTTCGGTGTCTCGAATATCATATCCGTGGCTATTGTGATACAGTTTAAGTATACACCCAGATTCTGTGAACTATAGAGTGGGGGAGCGTGGACGGAATTCGACCGTCAATATCAACGATTGCCGAACTTCAGTGTCTCGAACATCATATCCGTGGCTATTCTGATACAGTTCAAGTATACACCCAGATTCTGTGAACTATAGAGTGGGGGAGCGTGGACGGAATTCGACCGTCAATATCAACGATTGCCGAACTTCAGTGTCTCGAACATCATATCCGTGGCTATTCCCATACAGTTCAAGTATACACCCAGATTCTGTGAACTATAGAGTGGGGGAGCGTGGACGGGATTTGACCTTCAATATCGTCGATTGCTGAACTTCAGTGTCTCGAACATCATATCCGTGGCTATTCTGATACAGTTTAAGTATACACCCAGATTCTGTGAACTATAGAGTGGGGGAGCGTGGACGGAATTTGACCGTCAATATCAACGATTGCCGAACTTCAGTGTCTCGAACATCATATCCGTGGCTATTCCCATACAGTTCAAGTATACACCCAGATTCTGTGGACTATAGAGTGGGGGAGCGTGGACGGAATTTGACCGTCAATATCGTCAATTGCTGAACTTCGGTGTCTCGAACTTCATATCCGTGGCAATTCTGATACAGTTTAAGTATACACCCAGATTCTGTGAACTATAGAGTGGGGGAGCG